ATTAGTGTCTTTATCACCCCAAGCATTGTTTCTGCACAATATGTTTGAAGAAACAACTTCAATATCAGATACTGATATGTATCTGTGATAGGCCCATGAGTTGTTTCTGTTGGCTTACTGATATATAGGTCAGATTCAAAAGATATTTCGTGATATATCTAGTATCTACACAGGATAGCTGCTAAAAAAAGATGAGCTATTCATCCAGCTATAAACACACAGGACAAGAGACTCTGCTTAACTGATGACTTTGTGCAAGGATTAGAATATGCACAGTTTAAAGCCCTGATGTATGGTCTTACTTCCCCTCATCAAACACTTTTAAACACTGAGCCCGATGCAAAGTTCTGCAGCTGCATCCACCCCGTCTCATGCTCCCTGAGCGGACATCAATGCAGTCACTGTACACTCACAGCTCCTGGCTTGCTGGAACCAAACCATTTGGACACGTTGCACATTAGGCTGCGAGAATGTGGAGAAGGGGAGACATGGTAAAATTCCACTGCGCACACAGCTCATGATCATAATAACTCTATGAACTGCATTCTTCAAAAGAGGGGGGGGGGGGGGGGTGTCGGGGAATACATTTAACTAGAGACAGTGGGTCAGTCAGCGTTGCAAGTGATGCCTTTGTTTGGTCTGACCTAAATCAAAATGTATGTGGGGACTGGAATGCTGCTGTTCGTCATTGTCAGACCATGCAATGACAATGCAGCTCCTAAAACTGACCCATTTGCGTTATTTGTCTGTGTGCGGTATGTTGTACGCAGGAAGGCATGAGTTGAGTTTCCTGACATGCAGGAAGACGGATCAGCAGACTGTCCATAATTATGGGGCAGAGAGATTTGCGCCCAGCACTAACCACTGATTTGACTTGTTTAGATCATCTATGGTAATCAAGCTTTGTCTTTGAACGCCGTATATCCAGAAACAGAGCAGCTACAGTAACATGTGAAAACACATCTAGAACTGTCAGTTCCCTCTCCTATGGCATTTTGTTTAAATCAACTCATGTTATTGCCAGTAAGCCAAGGCAAACTGTGAGGTGCTGTGATATCAAGTGTCTAAGCCAGAGGGGGAATAAAAAGGAACTACACTTATGTTGACTAGACTGTCAATTCTGTGTTAGGTATCCATGTATCTTCAAGTGAAACTCTCTGACTCACCAATGTACAAACCAGACAGAGGACCCATGAAATACCCCATCATCACTTGGCAGCTATATCAAGTCTAATTGCACCTTCAAAACCACCACAAAAAAACGCCCTCGTACGGCATGATTCAACACGTCTAAGGTGAGTTGTTGTACAACTGCGGTTCACCAGCAACAGTGACAGCTACAGCTACAATAAAAGAAAAATGTGGGTTTGCTAAATGACAACATAAAAAGGACACACGAAGATGAAGTGCCTCAAAATGACCAATCCATCACCGGCCTCCTGAGAAACATGTAGACATCAGTGTTGTATTGCTGCTGAAAGAGTGATGGACCACTCAAACATTACAAGTTTTGTCATTGAGGGACATTTGTTGTCAGTTGTTGTCGATACCTGTGAGACAAAATGTCTCTGAATCCCATCATAATCTCTATATAGACATCTTAAACCTATAAAATGTGCTCATAATTGTGTAGTTAGCTGAAGATCTTTAGAAAGAAGCTCTGAGGGCAATAAGTACATCTCATATGCTTTCAGTTAGAGTCAGTCATTTATTAACTCAGCTGTTTTCCCTACATTTGGCAACACCTGCAGCAGCTTTCCATACAGAAGCAGTACTCCCTGCAATTAGGGCCAATGACCTTAGATCACCCTGTAACCTGAATGTGTTGCAGTAAAACAAGAATAGTTGCTTAGTTACATGAAGGTACGTACCAATCTCCCTTTGATATACAGACAGTTAACGTGTTTCTCCGGATTTTTACGTCTCACTTTCACAGAAATAAAAACTCACTCATTGATTTTACTGAGTAAGAAGTAATCTATAATTCGGCAATAATCAAAGGTAAATAATAACCTTGATTAACTCACTTGTATGACACTGAGCATGGCAAACCAGCAGGTCAGATGTTCTGAGTTACGCCTGAAGAAGCGACGTATGAACAAGGATTTCTTTACCTATCGATCTTTGTATCGATCTTTAAAGCAAGATTTTTGATTTTAGCGGCATGCCGAATCTAACACCAATACTTAATGGAGCTATAAATATACTTGATATTGATATTAAGCTGCAAATATATATGCAGATAATAGATTAAACTTTAACTTGCCATATTTTCAGTTGAGCTTCCGTTTGCTTTTTAAACCAAGAAAGTCGCATGTAGGGTAATATAGTCTGCATAAGGTTTTAATAAAACAACAGTTTTCTAATGACTAATTACTGAATACGACAAAGTAAATAACCTGTTTCGTTAAGTTCATAGAAGAAGAAACAGACACTTTGTTGAGTGAGAGAAGTTGTGTTAACACATTTAAACAGATTACAACATAGTTAGATACACTGACAACATATCTGGTGACTTACTTGTCGTGTTTTGATGAGCTAAGTACATGTGCTGTCTTCATTTTCTCCTGATAAAATAAATCCGCAGATAAAATCTGTTTCCAGTCGTCTTCATCGTTCAAAAAGAATCTGCAGAGGTTAACGTAGGCGGTTTGAAAAACGTCCCTGTGCGTGTGTTGAAATCCACAGTCCGTTTACCGGCACGGTCATTTCATAATCACAACAAAAGAAACTTTGATCAGGACATAAAAACTTCTCCTTGTTCTTATAAGAAAACACAACAACAAAGAAAGAGGGCAAAGACTGCAGAAAAGTAAAGCAGCACACTCCTCGCCCTCCTCCTCTGGACTCTGGGGTCAAGTCAGCCACAAAATATGTGACTTCCGCTTTTTACTTCCAAAATAAAACTTTTAATGTCACAGCTAATTTATTAATAAAAACATCATCATCATCCACAAAACCATAATAATAATTTTGTTTATTCATCACCTTTAAAAACAAAGGGTTACAAAGTGATTCGACGTACATTACAAGAAAAAGCAACATGAGTCTAGTTTTTTAAAAACTGATCTTAGTATTTTTATGTCTTGTTTTTTATGTGCCTAAATGGTATTTGTTCGTTTCTTGTGTGGTGTATTGACTGTGACTGCAGTTGCTGCTGTGACGGTGTAATTTCCTGCACATGATTAATAAAGTACCCATCATCATCATCATCATCATCATCATCAAGAACAAATCAATGTATCAATATAATCTTGCTTTAATTTGTATATTTTAAAAACATTTTCTTTTTGTGATGGATTTAATGACCTATATATATTTCCAGGGGGGAAACTGCTGATGAGATGTTTTTTTTTGTGTGTGTTTTGTGTCTTAAAATGTTATTATGAAAACAGTGGTGTATATTATTATTATTATTATTATTATACATCTCTTAAATGCATTAGATTAAAAATATAAAATAGATAAACTAATCCCTAAATTAGGAAATACTGTCTTTACTTGGTCATTGCCCTTAAAAATGTATTTCCGACTAATGAGCCTACTTTAACTATAGGCCTATATTCTGCTTAGGAGTTTAATTTATTCTGTCTGTTTAGTTCTTATCTGTTTACGCAGGCATCTCCGTATGCTGCATATCCGCCTTAGTACTCCTAACTTTAATCATTTTCTAACAAGTCCTTTAACTTCCTCTTTCGCTGCGGGTGTGTTCATCCAGCTTGACGCAGCGGTGACTGTGAGAAAGTTTGGTTGAATCCTCCCGATCCAAAAGGGAAGACGTCATCACATCCACTCCTGCAGCTGTCATCGATGAACAAATACTGTTGTCTTCATGTGTCCTGGGAAATATCGACACTGTGTAATGAGCTGCACCTGCGGGACTCCACGCGTCCATGTCTGGCACTTTACTGACATTAATAAAAGAACAGATGCGATGTGTTGCTGCAAAAAGTGGTGGACAGCTCTGAAACTGTTGGGATATCGTTGAACTAAAGCCAAAATCTATAATAGTCTCTTTAGTAGAAGCAGCTTTTAGCCCATAGAGCCCAAAAGAACTGAACAAAACAAACAAACATGCAATGTCTGACTTCAGGACAGCTGAGGTAGATGGGATGAATGCAGTTTAAGCATTGCTTTTAAAAGTCGTAACAAGGTTTCCGTAGGTGAACCTGCGGAAGGATCATTACCGGTTGAGATCCCCGTGTGGCCGCGTGGCCCCTCGGTGCTGGCGGCGGATCGTCACTCAAACTCTCAAAACCCTCAAACTCTTTCTTTACAGCACACTCTGTAGGCGGTATAGACAATACTTTTGCCTACAGGGATAATTAGTCTTAAACTATCCTGATGTGTTTTGACAGGACTTCCAATTAGATTTCAACCTTGAGTATCATTCATTAAACACATTTGATCCCAGTTTAGAAAAGGAAATATAGATACGACCATCCACTTACTTATATGCACCTTTTCATGGTGTCACATGGCATTTTTCATATATTTTCACCTAAGTAATGCGTATACTTTAAAGAGCTGTGCATTTAATGTCTGCATATGCAAATGGGGTTAAAAATGATCTCTGGTCGAAACATTGTGATTACGATGAAGCTTTTTGTGGCATTTGAGCAAGTGTGCAGGCATATCTTCTTTCCTGCTTCTGCCAATGGTCCATTTAATAAAGAAGGGACTCGATGATCTCTAGGATGAAAAAAATTACATTTATCTGTTTCTACAATTAGCCAAAATCAGTTGAAGAAATGTTAGTATCTGATATGGATTCTGTGCATCCCCAATATTTCTGCTGCGCTACTTCTAAAGGATACAACAGCCATTAAAATAAGAGGCGCTGATTAGTGTATAATGAGCCTCAGTCACAACTTATATGTTAGAGCTGAAAAGGAAGTAAGCAGTGATAGCTCTGCAAAGTCAGAGTCTGCAGGTTAAGTAAAAACTGCTGCATATAATATTCATTCAATTATGAGACATGATCAAAATGCAAAGACTCGTGTTGTTTCACATTTTATTTCCTTTCAATCTTTACATGATGTTTCCTCATTTGCATATTGTGCAGTTAATGTGCAGTGAAGACATTTCAAGTGTTATCCTCCAAAGGACAGAACATCAGTGCATTAGAAGGTAGATTTCTTTAAGCTTCACTTTTTCTTAAGAGATGCAATGAAAAACAAATCACAACAGAGATGAGTTCAGAGTTGGATTTTTAAAGAATTTACTCAGCCTTCAAGCCCTCCTTAATGAGGTTAAGCTCGTAGCACAGGGTCTCAAAGCGGTACGCCATACGGATCTGGGCCACGTTAGTCTTGCGGATGTCGTTGCCCTCAGGACCCTCCTTCAGGTAGTCCTTACCCAGGAAGTGAACCTTCTCCTAGAACACAGAAGGAAACCACAAGAGTGTTTGAACCACCACAGCCATTTTCTTTGCATCAAAGATGAACAAATTCAAAAGGATTTTTGTAAAATGTGTTTAAATGTTTAAAGGTTAACAAATCTCAACACATCTAGAGCTCTCCCTCTGTGTTTGTTACCTCGTGGGACAAGGCGCTCTGCAGCACACTGCTCCTAGAGATCTCACACATGTCGCAGGTGCTGAGCTTGAACACCTGGGCTGCGATGGCGTACTCTTCCATCAGGGGTTCCTGTGGATAAATAATCCCAGATTTAAACCCTGTAATGGTCACTCTTTTGTTAACACATGTTTAATCATCATATACATTCCACAAGTACTTTATATTAAGAATATAAAAACATATATCTCTCCTCAAGGAGAACACATGGCAGTATATAAAAACAAAAATTATGATAATTATATGTCCAGCAATATTAAAAAAAATAATAAAAGGACACCCTAAAAATGTGTACACAATTTAAATGATTACATGCAAAGACTTTGAAAATATTAAAAACAATTCAAACTTCCAAGTTAAACATAGATTCCATCCTTCCATTATCTATACCACTTTTACCATTCAGGGTCATGGGGGTGGGGGGGGGGGGGACATATAGAGAGAGTAAACCAGCCACACTCACATTCACACCTCTGGGCACTGTACTGTAGAGTCCCCAATTAACAATTAGGAGAGATAGGACAGTGGTTAGAGTCTGAAATCATGGAGAGAGAGTGTGGGGAACCACATGTGCTAAAGGAGCCACAGGTCAGATCCGAACCCGGCTGCCTGCTTGGAGGACCGTGGTCTCCATACATGGAGTGCACATGCTAACCACTACCCCACCAGCGCCCCTAAAATGTGTTTTTGTCAATGTCCTTTGCCTCACACTTTGAATGCTTCTTCAATGTCACCATTAATTTATTTAAAGATTTATTTTGGGGCTTTTGCCTTTATTTTGAAAGGACAGTGGATGGAGTAAGAAATTGGGAGAGAAAGAGAGTTGGGAAGGACATGCGGGATATGAGTCACAGGTCGTATTTGAACCCGGGATGCACGCTTGCTGTCTCACTTTATAGGTACGTTTTTAAAGTGCCAAACTTACTGTTATTTCTCTCTACTTTTGATCACTCTTACTTCTATTTACTAAGGCGTATTAAAAGAGTAACCCTGACTGTAAATACATTAAACACGAGTGTGTGGAGGGCATTATTATTTCCTAGAGGTAAATGTTTTATGGGTAGCATACTTGTGAAAACCTGAGAATGTGTTTACAATGCATGCTGAATTTCATCCATATAACACTCTATTTCTGTTTGAATGGGCTGAACATTAAGTTTCCTGTGCTGCATGAACACAAAGACATGCAAACAATATCTGTATACATTGTACAATATATGCTCTATAATACAACACAGAATGCATTATTGTGTACACGAGGATCAAAGGCCCCTCTCTCTGTGAGCTCTGACCTTAGTGTAGTGGAACTGCATGGGGTCGTCAGTGGACAGAGAGACCACCAGGCCCTTCTTGTGAAACTCCAGCAGGGGGTTCTTGGCGTATTCCAGGAACAGGCTGTTGTTGCTGAGGGGGGACATGGCGATGGGGATCTGGGCCATGAAGTACAGATACTGCAGCACAGGACTCTGGAGGAGGAGTGATGGATTATTACAGGAACAGGTTCATTCAGCCTATGACATCGACTGTTTCTTCACTTTTAATTTGGGTAAATGAAGCCAGGAAAAACAGAAAGGGCAGTAAGTAATGTGTTAATTGTGATATTATTTATAGAATCGTCTCCTTGTTCAGCAGATGTCTGACCTTCTTGAGGTTGAGTCCGTGAGAGATGTTGTCAGCGGTCATGAAGGCAGCCAGCAGATGGGTGACGGCACCGGCTTCACCGCAGTGAGGCCTGAATGTGAATGTGTTCATCCCCCTCTGCCTGCAGAACAAAAAAAATACAGAGAATCATACTGTGAAAAGGACAGAAATTCCCAAAACTCTAACCCTCAAAGAAAAGCATCTGATCTGTGACGATCATTTTCTTTCACCCCTTGCAGATACCAAAGTATGTGTATCCTGTGGAGAGAGAAGGGGACTGACC